ATATATATATATATATATATATATATATATATATATGGAAATCAAAAAGGGGAATTTGCTGTAGATTGTAGATTAACACCACCTCCACTTCTTCAGGGTTGGGATAACAGGCAACTCCATGGTTAAGGTTGATACAAATCAAACCAGGGGTACAAAATATGTTTAATGTAGTACACAAAAGTATTTAACCTATGGTCTAGGCTTTAACATCAATCAGGCCAGTACAGTAGCTTTTCCCTTAGATCAGTTTTCCTTTCACTCTAGTCTATTGTTCATAAATGGCATTAGTATAATAGCATTATAATTTTAAAAAGGTGTTTTGGAATGTATAGGAATGCAAGCACAGCACTTCTTAAAAACAGATGTGTCTTTTCTGCATGAGCCTGAAAAAAAAATGGCTGCTTTAGGGAGTCTTGTTAAAGACAAGGCTGTATCTTGTGAGGAAGTCTGAAAAAAGACCCAGCTGCTTTAAAAAGATGCTGCGCTAATGCTCCTGCCCATTCTGAAGCATCTCTTCCAAATCCCTCTTGAAGCATGCAAAACATTAACACATAGGAATCAGGCCTTGTTTCCTTTTTGCCGGTCAAAATCTTTTTGCCTGCCAGTGAGTTTTGCATACTAAACAATTACATCTGCTTATTTTGGCTGTCTTGCTGCTTTTTTCCTGCCAAATGGACTAGGATTAGGGTTATCGATCGATGGCTGACAGATACCTTTGCAAATTTATGTACCCACACCATAATCACAACAAGGATATCGCACCAATCAATTATATATGTGGCAAGCAAAAACCTTTTGGACATGAGATTTTAACACTAGTGGCAGGCAAAAAAGGATCAAGAGCCCAACAAACTCCTATCTGAAACTCTTCCAGTTGTTTCTAGCTTCTGAGATGACTGAGAAGTTTCAAGACAGCTTACTAAAATCTTTCTGATTATACCCCCACTTAAAAAGTTATGCTTATGGCTTATTGTGGTATGTGAAACCATCCAATTGTGATTTATTCAATAACTATGATTAAACAAAACACTGCTTTGCACAATGTATAAACAAGGCACAAGATTCCTTCCCATGATAACTATAATTAAGGCATCTATGATGATATCCAATGCACAGTAAAAAAAAAAAAAAATCAGGTGTTTGGCTTACTTTGAGACACCATTACCTTATCAAAACATCATAATCATTACAAATATAAACACAAATATATTTCTTCACAGGGTGCATTACTCCATAGCATAACATTAAACATTATATCAGATTCACACCAATCATAGTGGCTCATTTTAATTACATAATCACATATTTTGACAGAGTCTTAAAACTTTGTACACAGGATTGTAGACTGGGAGGGACCTTATCGCTTGAAATTTCTGTTAAAAATATTCTTCTGCCCATAACATCCCTTCCTATTTTCCTTATACTTACTAAGCAACAAGTCAACAATGGGTCACTCTGTATTATACAGTTTAGGTCAAACTGTATGCTTCAATGAATTCCTAAGTGAACAGAAGCTGACACAATCTCTGTATGGTATAAAATCAAACACAGTATATTTCTGCAAATTTGAATGCATATTTACTATTTATGTGCAGTTGTTCTTAGATTCCAAATAAGAAATTACAGTGGTACCTCGGGTTACGAACGCCTCTACTAGCGAACCGGATCCGCAGCCATTTTCCCTGCTGCCACGCGGTCGCGGCTTCCTGTGGGTGAGGTCGCGGTAGCAAGGAGACGTTCGGTGAGGCTTGTGGGGGGTTTTGCGGGGTTTTGCGAAGGGTTTTTGTGTGGGTG